AATCGACGTGTTGGCTACAATAAAGAATGTACTTTGTCATCTCAAGACGTCGAGAAAAATAGCGTTTGGTTGCAGTTAAATAACATCAATTGAAATAGTTTACAAAATTTTGATAATAATCCTTTTTTGTTTCATTAACTTATAAAGTTTAATTTCTAAATTGAAAGAAAAACAACAACAAACAAACAAAAAAAACACCGAAAATAATTGTTGTTGGGCTCTGATAATTGCGTCAATTACCGACGGTATAGAAGTTTGTCCACCGTCCATCATTAAGGAAAGTTTGCATTATTAAATTATTTTTCCTTTTCACCGTTTTTTTTACTTTCTTTTTTATTTATTTATTTATTCCCCTCCGACAGGGTCTTTCAAATAGATTCTATTTGAAAGACCCTGCCTACGATCATTATTAATTCGATCCGTTTGCTTAATTAACAGATTTAACAATTCATCTTTCAAACAAATCATTAGCATGAAAATTAAGGACGTTATAACATGCAACTTTGACACTTTATCTTATTAAGATATGTAGATTATACAACGCTTACTCGATTTTTTTTTGCAAAATTGCGGAGCATCTTTATTAAAGTGAACACACTAGGACAAATGCGGAGATTTGATTAAAATCGTCATTTAAGGACACAAAATAACATATGCATTTTCGACTTCCATATAATTTTGAAAAGTGCCATACGGCTAGCCAATACAGTGTGTCCAGGCTAGTCGTACGTGACTCACGTACTGCTAGAACTTTTGGCTAGCCGTACGGGCCCGTACGGCTAGCCACTTCCTTATGAAAAACTGGGGGAATTCCCACATTAGGCTAATAATTATAGATGTTTTCAAATGGAAAGGTAACATCCATTTATTAAGCATTTGTAAATCATGTTTTTTTATCTGAAATCATAATTTTGAGGAATACTTTATTAAACTAATTTTATTAGGATTTGATAATTTACCAAAAGCATAGGAACGCTGATCGCGGCGCATATTTTCGATCACAGGGGGCCCACACAGTGTTTGGATGGTATATACTGCTTGATAGTGACCTTAAAATGAGATTTTAGTCATAACCTTATAATATGTATATAAATATAGACAAGGGGCATTACTCGCTAAATAGAGAATTTTCGATCACCCTCAAATTCATGCGAGATTTTCCACTAATTAAATAAAAAAATTCCAAAAACTAAACTGCGTTGCATAGCTTATATAATCCACAATTGATAAACACTAAATCTATTCTGATTCCCTTAGCCCATTTTAAGAAATTTATTCAAAACCGTTCACTTCTGTCACAAAATTGCTTAGTCGTACGAGATGTCGCAACACCAAATTCCACGGGTAAAATATCAATTTTAAAATGGGGAGGTACAAATAAACGCATGCAAACAATAACACAACATAGTTTATATAACCTACCTGCGCAAATAGTCGTGAAGCGCTCTATATTCGTCTGTTTCGAACGAAATCTTCAAATCAGAGCAGAAATCTGCTTCGACGTAGACATCTTGGGGAAACCCTGGTCACGTGACCAGCTGGTGTATCGAGACCTTTCATTGGTTCGGTAGGAACTTTGTTTATAAAACACACTGACAGTGAATGGGCAATTATTTCGTTAAAAAAATATTTCGTTAGATTGTTCTGACTCAGTTAAACGCTTGCATTTGAATTAGCCAATCAGATTTCGCGCACTTTACGGACGCCATTTGTTAATCGGCTGTAAAAGGAATTGAAATACATGAGAGGATTTAATCATGATTTTTCGGATGTGACAGTTTAATTATTTTGACTAAAGGTATTTATTTTTTAGTTTTGTTCATAAATAGGTAAAAAATTATGTAAATACACGCTGTCTTCATTGTTTTTCGTTCCGCCCGATTTTCTGGTGGAACATGCTATGGGTTTTTGAGCAATTTTGATATGACATGCCCAGAAGCAAAAATATCTCAAAGCGACGTCATATTTATAGGACTAAGCTAAACACCAGTTGAGCACACATGTAAATTGTAATTTAACATTTATCTAAGTCTGTGGATTAAAGACGTAAATTGTTCCAATTAATTCACTGACACTTTCATCTGTGTAAACCTTTCACATCTGGGCCGCTTATGTAATTTACACGGCCGCTTATTGACTTTTAAATGACTAGTTGTCGGATATTTTTATCTTACGTTGTTACATTAAAGTTTGCATTATGAGAATGCATAACAGTTGACAAGCATTGCACGAGCTTATATTGTGTAATGACAACATTTTGATTTGTTTTGAATGTAGGTAAATGATCGGCCTTTACAAAATGTTCAATGTAAGGTTTTTATAAATCCTTAATTTTTACCGGACCGTCGGGCCGTCAAAACATATATTTTTATCGGACCTTCTGATTTTTTACCGGTCAGCACTGAGCAGTGTCTATTCTAGGACGCGCGATTGCGCGATTCCATTAGTATTTAACAGATCGCGCACAATTCAAAATCGTGTGCGTGAAAATCGCGCATCTATAAAAAAAGTTAATAAAACCGTAAAACTTCCATCCCGCATTATATTTGGTTGTTTTGTTTATATTTACACCGAAAACCGAAGGGAGGTAACTGTAAGCTAATTATAATAATTTAGTACCGTATGGTACTGGTTACGTGAGTTGACGGAAATTGACGGAATGTTCCGTATCGACCGGAACTAGTGTGCTAGGTCTGACAGTTGGGCGCCTATTAGTGTAGTAAATAATCAAGAAAAATGAGGCAATTCCTAGCTTGGCTACGATCTATACGTGAAAGATAGTTCGATTATTTGTATTGCTAATCCCTTTATGATCAATCGCGGCAGTTCTGTAATAATTTGTTTTCGTTTAAAAATTCAGGGGGGACAACTTCTGCTGCCTTAAATAAATATTATCGTTTTAATTATTTCATCGGTGTAAACTTAATGCAGACGATTTAATATTGGCAGTTTATATTGGCACCCTTTGATTTTGAAAATCGCCCCCTTTCTTGAAATAGAGGGGGGAAAATCACCCCTATTTTTCAATTCCTAGAATAGACACTGGGTCAGGGCCGACGGTACGACGGTCTTTCGGAAAGACTGATTTTTTCAGAATTTTGTTCCCGTTATCGTTGTCAACTATCAGGTATCGTAACGGTTTATTGTTACACGTGTTGACATGCACTAGTGTTTGACATGTATAGTCGGCATTATAACGGGCGTATTCGTGTTATGATATGTTTACATGGAGAAAACAGACATTTTAGTTATATGGTCTAATAGATTTTGCCTAACTGAAAAAAAGGAATATTAAAACATGATCCATAGATAAATATTCAAGGCACTCATCTGGTATTCCTTAGTTAGGAAATGTGAAAGTTTCCCATGTATTGAGTGACATAAAGAGAGTACTAGGAAAATTAAAACAAAAATCAAGCATATCAAGGGGGATAACTTACGACAGCTTCCATTTAAGAACATAAAATTTCCGTCAAAATAGCTCCCAAGGATATTTTTTTGTACATATAAAATAATTGCAGTTTTTTTAATATATATGATAAGATTGCTATTATATTAGGTCAAAAACATGAAAATAAAAATTATAGCAGATGTATTTTGAGTTTTAATCATGTTTTAAATTTCATGTTGCTAACATCATTATTTGACAGAATATTTGACGGATATTTTTACGTTCACAACATTCAGAAATTGGAAAAATTAAGCATTCTCTTTATTATAATTAGCAACATTTTATTCTAAGTAATAAAAGATTGAAAACTGTATGTAAAGGAAGTACTATCTCTGCAGAGAACAGGCCAGATACAGATTTATTCATTTTTGATGATGTTGCTAAACGTCATTTTTTGACGGAACAAATTGTTGCTACCATCATTTTTGGACGGAACAAATGTTCTTTCACAATTTCTAAAGTACTTTTTCGCAATGGATACAAGAAACAAATGACAACAAGTTAAAAGTTTTCAAAGAGCAAACGAGTAAATTATGTAAATTTACTTGGACATTATCCGAAATTAACTGTCAAAACACTGGCCATCAACTTTTCTAGGCACTAAAGAAACGTATTTTACAAAATAATCTGTCAATGGCTATTGAAACTTTTCAAAGATATATTATATTTTAGGGCCGGGAATTATATTCGAATATTCGAAACACTAACGAATATTCGAACATTGAAAAAACAAATACGAATATTTCGAAAAAAAAGGAGAAATGTTTCATTTTTTGTCATTACTTTCAAATTTCAATTCAGATCGTAAATTAACTTTGCCCTTTCTTTCACCAGGTGTGTAAATGTTTGTATGACGCGTGTCAACAATTATCGCCAATTAACTTTGAAAACTTTGGGGTATAGTTGATCAAAAGGGCACCCGTTTCACAGTTTTGCAATTTACCTGTTGAACAGTTTTATAATGTAAATTTTTCCGATTTTAATTATCTTATTTATTGTTTTCTGTGTTAAAATCTTTCCGATTAATCAATAATTGTCTTAAATTTTTGTGAATAAGAATAAATTGGCACCATTATTCGGCGCGTTATGAAAAGCATATGAAGTGTCTAAATTCTGTCAGAATATATTTATTCCGTAGACATTAGACTCCATGTGATATTTTACCTCGTTATAGCTAAACTTATCTAAGAATATTTTAAACTTTATCTAAAATTATAAATAAAAAATATTTAATACAAGTTAAGTTTCAATATCATTATGTGTCTTTGGGGATAAATGGCTAAGGATGATCATTCATATTACTGTCAGTCAAGTCACGTGAGTTACCTCCCGTTAATAAGACAGCGGTCGGTTTACTGAACAAAAGGCAATCAAATTATGAATTTATTTCAAAAGTAAACATATATCTCGATTTACAATATATAAATTAAAAAAACTTCGACATAGCAATAAAGGTCTTTTTAATCGCCGATTATTCCAAGCATTTTAAAGTAGTATAGTATTCGACGCAATCAATTTTTGGATACGTATACGTCAAGAGAAAATATTGGAACAAATGTTGTAAAAACGAATATTCGAATATATTCGAATATGGAAAAACGAATATTCGAACATCGAATTCCTTATTCGTTCCCAGCCCTATTATATTTCTAATAGTTTTTGTAAGAAAGTATGAAAACAGTCTGCACCAAATTGGATGTAAAAGCACCAGTCACCATGTCGGCCTTTCTGATGGGCTATTAAGTGTAACTGTACACCAAACACTCGAAATTTGTAGTATAATCTAGATCCATGCATAGACAGTAAAGGTTCAGCAAGTTGTTTAATGATATCCTCCCAACAAACAAAGAAAGATTTCTCCTCCAATGTCCATAATTGTCGCTTTCCTTTCTTATAGAACTGGACCCACAATCCATAGACTTTCTCCTCTCTGTGCAGTTCATGGGTTTGAACAACCTGCAAAATGATGTACAATCAATGACTTGTTGCACCAATAACATTTAATCAATTACCAGTATCTATCAAAGAGGTCAAACTGGACTCGATGAACCAATCAAATGTATTTACCAAGTATTCACAACTGGTAATGAAGTCAAGCTCTGATTGACGTTCAAATGTTGCTTCATATCATCACAATATTAACCGGAAAAAAAAAACTTAAAAATGCATATACACTACATGTATAAACAAATAATATTTGCACATGAACAGACAACTGCTCTACCTGAATAGTAAGGCTATATTATTAGTTATAAAGATTTTTGACAGGTTATATGGCCCTATATAAATGGCTGTTTGTAAAAAATATAACCCAAATCGCTAGCAAGGATCATTTTTAGAGGAATAAAGCAAGATTTCTTTATTAATCAACAATAGCTGTGTCACGTGTATAAACGCTGATAAATCTTTGTCCATTCCCCGAAAAATTGAAAAAAAATACTGATTGCACCTTTTGACAGACAACTGACGAATTTGCTAGACTTTTTTTGTGTACTGAATTTAACCAAACTGTTAAAACATTACTACTTACAACAGCATTAAAACTTTCTGATCCATTTCTGATGAGAAGGTTAGTGCCTACAGGGTACCTGCATGAAAAGTTGTTGAAAGGTAGACCTTTAAAAACTGATTCAAAAATTAACTTGTGCACACACTCTCCATATCATTTTAGACATATTACCTCTTTTTCTGCCTCACTTGAAACAGAGGTGTGAGACGAAAGACTTAAGACACAAGGACTTTTATCAATTGGTCAGAGAGAAATGGCCTGACCGAGAATCAAAGCTACAACTCTCAAAATGAAAAACAAGTGCACTTACCACCGCGCCATCATGCCCTGCATTTTATAGGGTGGGTATACAAAAAGAAATTGTTTCATTTACTATTCATAGTTTACCTTTGCTTGGAAGCAGGTATACCAATGTCTTCAATCAAACTGTCCGCCAAATCATCTCCACAAGTCTTCAAATGCTTCGAGTCACTGCAAACAAACAAGATTTTTACATATTAAGTAAATCTTAAGTATTCCTACATATATCATTATTGGGAATTTTTAGGTATACCTTTCTGCAAACTTGTAGAAACATAACTTTTAAAAGCATAAATGAGAAAATAGCATTAATTTGTAATGAGGCAAGTTATTCATAATTTACCTTTGCTTGGAAGCAGGTATACCAATGTCTTCAATCAAACTGTCCGCCAAATCATCGCCACAAGTCTACCTTTCTGCAAACTTGTAGAAACATAACTTTTAAAGACATAAAAATGAGAAAACAGAAAGCATTTATTTGTAACAAGAGCTGTCGGTAGGACAGCAACGCCAATGACTTTTCTTAGTGCTTGATAGTAAAAAAAAAATGCTTGATATAGTTACCTCCTCCTGTTTACAGGTTGGGGTCATGATGGTGAACAAGTGTGCAAAGTTTCAAAGCAATATGTCAATGGCTTTTGAAAATATTTGAACTATTACAAAAACTTTAACGTAAATTCTAAGTCCAAAAAGGGGCATAATTCTGTCAAAATGCTTGATAGAGTTACCTCCTCTTGTCTACAGGTTGGGGTCATGATGGTGAACAAGTGTGCAAAGTTTCAAAGACATATGTCAATTGACTTTGAAAATATTTGAACTATTACAAAAACTTTAACGTAAATTCTAAGTCCAAAAAGGGCATTATTCTGTCAAAATGCTTGATAGAGTTACCTCTTCCTGTCTACAGGTTGGGGTTATGATGGTGAACATGTGTGCAAAGTTTCAAAGCCATATGTCAATGGACTTTGAAAATATTTGAACTATTACAAAAACTTTAACATAAGTGGTTACGCCGACGCGGACGCTCGGGTTACTACAATAGCTCTACTTATTCTTATCGAATAGTCGAGCTAATAAGGCAAGTTATTCATAGTTTACCTTTGCTTGAGAAGTGACAATTACATGAAAAGTGACATTTACATACTGTTCATATGTTTATAGACAATAAATAGTTTAGTACAGTGAAGATAAATGTTATACTCAGACAATAAATTATATTGATTATTATCTTTTGTTCTGGTTTTCAATGTAATCTATTGTTAGTCATTTGATATTCCAATCCACACAATTTTTTTAACAACATTTAAATAAGAAAATGAACAAAGAAAAAAAAATGGGGCTGATCTGACTTGAGGCCGATTTCGCTTGGGGCCGATTTGACTTGGGGCCGATCTGACTTGGGGCCGAATTGACTGTATTTCAACTCAATCCATCTCTCACTCCCTGGTATTACTGACACTACAATGTTTACATGTAGATTTATTATGTCAAAACATTGACGGTTGTCAAAATATGACGATCGCATCATTAACAGCCGTCAAAGAATGACGATAGCAACAATTGTGTATGTCAATAAATGACGTATGCAACAAGAATGTCCGTCAAAAAATGACATTCGCAACAGCTTTAAGCGTAAACAGTCATTGGAAGTAGTAGACGTCCATGTATTCATCTATTTCCTGCATACAACTCGACTTTAATATGTTTTCTCTTCTTTAAAATATATACAAATATCTATATGTACTTTTTGTTTCTATCGTCAACATTTAAAACACTTGACAGACACAAACTTACTTAAAATAATTTGGATTCTAAAATGCGAGTATATATCCGACCTGGTGAAGAAGCTGGGAGTTCCGTCCGTCAAAAAGATGATGATTTCCAATTTAATTTTTAGTTATTTTGTTCATTTCAATATAAAATTAGATCAGGAAATTGATTTTTATTGATTTTATTGATGTACTTTATTCAAATAAATGCATGTACTTTTCAGGTGAGCTAATTTAACCCCAAAAAATCACATTTCATAAAATTGACGGAAATTTGACAGAACTTTTACGTTCTTAAATGGAAGCTGTCTTACGCCGAACGTTGCGGCAAATGGCGGATGTCACTCCTTTTCTTTTTTCAATATACCGTAAATTTCACTGATTTTTAAATTTGCAGATTATATTAAATTGAGATTAGATAATTAAAGACCACCCGCTCACATAATATGAAAAGATATTAAAAGGTCGGACAAACAATTTGTAAAGCCGGTACGAATCCGGATTTATGCACCGCAATATGCGGTCCTGTTCCAAAGTTCCTATGACCAAAAGGTGTTTGGTGAAAACGAAAGTAGAAATTATAAACCAATTATTCCGTTCCTTAATTATTTTAGACCTGAATCTAACCAGTTTCTGACCTCAATTTAACCAATATATAACAATAATGTAACTAAAATTTGTCCATAATCTGACCAAATTCAGACATTCTGAAAAGTGCCACAGACGCGCATAGGTAAATCTGTCCTTATTTTATTAAATCTATATACATGTAGAGGTGTCATCGATAAGGATTTTTGTATCGATAAATCGGTAATGAATTATCGGCGATATATCGATTGCCAGGCTAAGTTTTAGCTTTCAAGTGTTTTTAAATGTTTCCTAAGGACTCTGACAAAGCAGTTATATTTAGACAAATGCAAAAATGATTAACTATGAAAACTGAACAATTTGTTTCTTTTTTTTATCATATAGCTATAAATAAAAACTAATGATTAGTAACTAGAAAGTTTAAAGCCTTTTCCATTTTACTTTAGTTGTTGTTGTTGCTATTACATAGGGCCATCCTTAAAAAATTGTTTGTTTGTAGTGCTCCGACCCTATGTTCAAGAGGTGGGTAGGTAGGTAGGGGATTTTTTTTTTTTTTTGAAATTGTTACAAAATTGGAGCATACTGAGTATAGCAATACACAGTATATAGTCTCCCATGATATACTGTGCATTGTATTTAGACAAATTAAAATATGTAGGCAAATGTATTTCTGTTAATATTTTCTTTGTTTAATATTTCAAATGATAACAGACATACAATGTAACATTTTTGTTGTTGTTTATTTTACATCTATTTCATCTTTAAACAAAATAATTGAACTTGTTCCTTATTTACTGACATTAACAATGTCTGTAAAAAGGTGAAATTATCTTTAATAAAACATGTGGTCTGAGAAAAATATATACAATACGATTACTTCCTTTGAGAAAATAGAACAGAATTAGTCTCAATACCAGTATTTCAGTGTTATTTGAAAATGCAATTTACACTGCAAGTATAGGTGTTTTGTTTGTAAAATCAATGATTACCCCCTTTTTTGATGACCACCTAAGATTTCATTTACTGGTCCAGACTTGTCAGATTCTAAATGCACAAAGAAGGGAGGGGTGTAGCAAATCCATTTTTCATTACTATTGAATAAAAGGAATTATCCTGCAAATAATATTAATCTGGTTACATTGTAGAATGTAATTATTTGAAATTAAATGACTAATAGCAAAATTTTTTAGCTTTGATTTTTTTGTTATTGTTTGTTTGTTTTTTTCTTTTTTTGTTTGTTTTTTTGTTGTTAAATTTTAGGGGTACACTTGAACATTTAGATTACCTTGCCACTTAACCGTATTAACCCAGTTAATTAACTCCATTCACTAGCCAGCATAATAATATATCATTACGTATGTTACACCTGTCACACAGTCGTGTTGTACTTGCCATATATGGCAGTGTAGTATGTAGAAAAATCTACGTCACCTGCTGTATACATGTATAGTGTGTAATCAACAGGTCCTGGAGCCTGGAGTTTGTTTTGAAAGTTGATTTAAAGAGAGCAACAATTAATAAACCCATTTGGGTGTTTAAAAGGGAATATAGTACGGACAATTACAAAGGAGAAAAAAAGGAACAAAAACAAAAGAAAAAATAAACAGTGCATGATTGCATCAAAGATTAAAAAATATGGCTATTAAATTTACTTTTTAGGAAAAAGGTAAAATTAATGAATAATTATCGTTCTTAAAAAGAAAACACAGGTATAACTTATTTAAAAGTATCGGGAAAAGACCCATTAATTTCCAGCGATTTTCCCGCGAAAATTTTATCAATTAACTTGTTTTTTCAACAAGTTTTAGTGTAACCTCATTTTCTGACAATCATGAATGGCAAAATGATTTAAATTAATTTATGTCAACAATAAAGTTTTTCTGGTATTATTTTGTGTAAAAATATATGAATACAGTGGTGGCCTATGGTTACGGAGGGTAATCCATTTTAACATTCGTTGATGTATGTATATTATCTTTGAAGCAAGGTTGCAATCTTTTTTTTTTCACTTTTATATAAAAAATAAATCAAATTTTAGTCTGGTTTAATATGTCCAGACGAAAACTTTATATTTGTAAAAATGCCTTGAAGAGGGCATCATTTCCATAAACTTTACCGTGTACGTATATATATGCAGCATTTAGTGGAATGAATAGGAAAATCGAGTACAGCTTCACACAGTGTGTAAGAGATTCATCCGATCGGCAATTAATTTAGCAAATATCTTCAAAAGGGGATCGATTAAATAATTAACAAAAGAACAATTCATTCACATGTTTGGCTTGGAAACTGAAAATTTTATGCCCTTTGCGAAATTTTAAGGTTTCTGGCGAATGTGAAATCGCCGATGTTCGGGGTCGAAGTTTGGCAAAATATCGATTAAAAGCGTGCGTTTATTTTGGTTTTGGAATAAAATTCTTTTACTCTTCTACTTCTCAGTTCAAAATTTGTCTGAAAAGTTATTGGAGAAAGATCTTTTTAACAGAATGGGTACATAATGATTTCTCAAAAAAAAAAAAAAAAAAAAAAAATTCTCGAAGGTGTAAAAAAATTTTTTAAAGTCGGGGCCATTTTCATGGGTCGGTCGGAGCACTACAAACAAACAATTTTTTATGGATGGCCTAGTTACTGATAATGCTAAATCCCTTCCTTGCCGTTCAAATTAAGCCAGGTTTAATTGGCAAATTATAGTGTTTAGAACCTGATTAATTATTAAAGTTTAACACTGACAAATTTTCTTGGCATTTTCCCTTTTGAAATCTGAATTGAGGGGTCTTAACATTCACTTAGCACGCATGTGAGATTACAACGAAATTAGGCAGCATTCGTTAGAGACACTGGGAGGTAACTTTGGCATTGATTTCCGTTTTCATTTAAAAAAAAAAAATTGTTTTCTGGCTTCCATAACTTTATATGTTGCTTTTTATTTTGACGTTTTGCAACAGTAAAACAGGTCTAATCAGTTCTATAAAAAACTGTTCGCTGAAAGACTCTTTAGCTAGAAATATATGTGCATTTGATAATCCGATATTTAAAAAATGGAATCGATATCGAATCGGATAACAAAGATCGTTGATACACCGATATCGATTGAATCGATGACAACCCCTTGGGGCGCCTATATACATGTATAATAATATTAAACAAGGCAGTACAAGTTGTGGCCTCCCATTACAGCACGGGTTCGTAAAAAGCATTGACACGTGAAAATACCATCTATTCCATTCAAAGTTATTGTAAAGAAGTTAATCATCGATCCTGGTGGGAAATTTTAGGGATAATTAGGGCTCATCAGATGGATGGAAATCATTTGAGTGTTGGACTTCTTTGGTAGGGAATACACATGTGTCAACATCAAAAGATTGGCAGATTCTTTTGAAGAGCAGACTTTTCAATTGTCAGAGGTTATCATGTGTGTAAATTTTGCGTATGTTATTTAAGTTGGAAACATTATATGTCTCATTTATTTATTGATGCTAACTTTGTTGGCGAGTGTTTTCGTGTATTTTTCGCAACAATTGAATATTGAACGTCTGCCAATGAATTTTTGTTAAAGTTTAAAATTTTTAAAACAGGGGGCAATTATCTGCCTTTTAGAAATTTAAGAAGACAAATGCTGGGTGTGTTAATTTTTTTCAATCGTACATACATGTATGTATTTTTAGTAAATTAATCCGTGTGTAATAAATTGATCATTGGTCACCCAAGAGAAGCGGAATGTCCCTTGCAATATTTCACAGTGATCAAGAGCAGTGACGATATTCCCGCAGCGTACAAATAGCACGCCGATCGGGTGATAAACAAAAGTCAAAACTGTAGCAGGGACGTTTCTGTGACAATCCAATCGGTAAAATAATCGCAGGGATTGACGGACTTGAGTAAAATTGTTTAAAGCTGTGTACTGTACATTTATTTTATGGAAAGTAGATTTATAATTGATATGGAGATGTGTTTGTTATATTTTTTATGGTTTGTAAAGTTTCCCTTGATTATAATTCAAAGAAAAAAGACAAACAAATGTCTTGAGATGACGTCTAACGTATATGTCTTCCAAGTTCTACTTGAGACGTAGAAATGGTTGAATTGATTTTGGCCTGCTAGATGAGGAACAAATCATATCTACTTCTGTATTATGTGATGACCGTTTCTAACAGCAAATCATAGATGAAGCAGTCTGGGGCCAATATGCCCTCTAGTGATAGTAGCAATGCCTTCATTGTAAGTCAAAGTTCATGGTCCTTAACTAGGGCCAGCTTTCAGGGCATACAAGTGTTGTGATCAGTCATAGTTAATAATGGTTTTCCTTGGATTCTTACAAATTGTAGCTAAAAAATATTTTTTGTTTGTT